GTATAAGTACAATAAAACAAATAAGAAGGAAAAGGAAAAAAGAAAAAAAGCATGTACACAATCAGCAAAGAGCCACACTTACAACCGGTGCAGGACCAAATTGCAAATGAAACCCTAAGCCATCGCAAACATGCACAAGTCTGGCAACCGATAATAATTTATAATAATTCATTTTCGAATCGTAACGAATTTTTAAGGATAAAAGCTAGTTTAAGTACGACATAGGTAAATCACGCGTATTAAGAAATGGTGCTTTAATGGACTTTAAAGAGTCCGATAACGAGAATAAGTGATAGACGTCATTGAAGTTCTTGCAAACGACACGGAGCAGATTAAACAACTCATAATTATATTTACAATGACTAAGCTTAATCAAGATAAAATGCCTAGAGAAGCTCACTTATTGTTAAGTTTCCTTTTTTTTACAATTACAATTTATTAAATTTTGAAAATGGATGAAAGCATAGAATCAAATCCCCAAAGTTCCTACAAATCTGTCCATCAAAAGCGAATGCAAAGGAAACGTAAATTGAGTCGATACGAAGATGAAATAATGTCCTTAGCGAATTCCCGGTCTTATGCGCAAACGTCAATAGCCAATTTTGACAATTTGACAGCCTCGCAAAAATGTCATGAATTATTATCACAGTCTGCTAAGTTATCCACAAATGGAAGTGAATTTCATATCACTGATACACAGTTAATCGAATGTTGCAATATAGCGGAAGTTATGATGAAGGAAGTAAACAATGTAGACGCACCAGAAAGAGCTCCTGGTGACTATAACAATAAAACAATAGTAGATATAATATTTGAGGACTTTCCTACAACGCCTTTTAACAGTCCTATAACATCGCCTGAGAGTAAATTAAGAGATTTGGAACGGAGCCTTTTATTTAGATTACTGGAGAAACCGAAACGTTACTATAGCTGTAAATTTAAAGAAAAGGCGAAATGAAATTTGGAGGGAAAATTCAAGGCCGCTATTGAGGACAATATGAGTACATGCTTATCTTCATTGTTGCAATGCAAAAACGATAAGCATCTTCTCAATGTTTGTAATCAGTTCGATGGCACTTTAATTGATAAACATATCGTAAATTTGAATTCCAAAAAGTCATATGATCCCATCTCAGAAAGTAAATTGGCCTGTATCGGTTTTTTTAACAATTCTGACTTTGTACATTCTTCTTTGGAAAAGTTTGAGATCTTGATTACGACGATATAGAGAAAGAGGACACGTACAACGTAAATGAAAGTAAGTTGTTTTTAAAATCTGTGATGAGACGATATTTAAATTAGTCCAAAATTTTTTAGCTTTAATGTCATCTAACCAGTGTAAAACTGGGATAAGTAAGAATTATCATTGGGATGAAGATGACAACGACATTTGTGCTTCCATAAGCACTCAAGAAATCTTGAAAAAAGTGAAAAATAAAATGTATCAAGATGAGGTGGGCAAGTCCAATAATCGGGCAAGTTCGCTTGTTTCTGCAGGTTTTCAAACAGCGAACGGTAAAAAGGAAACCACATTGGAGGAATCGCAGAAATCCGCACAAAATTTTGTGAGAGAAAGTCAAGGCCGTTTCCAAGAAAAACACTATGAAACTGGAATGAAAGATATAAAAGATCGGATGGAATCGAGTGCACAAGTAGGAAAAGAAAACTAAACCAAGGGTTTTCAAACGGATAATGAGAAGAATGTGCTCATATCTGAAAAAGGGAAAAAACGTATGGAAGCATTGCTAAATGAAGTTCATCAAAGTGAAAGTGATGGTGATATTGAGGATAATTTGCTTTGTATAAAAAATAAAGTTATTTCTAAAAAGCAAAGCATGCTGTTTGAAAGAAAAGTTTTAAGACATTTTTAACAAGCAGGAAAGAAGATTGTTTTTTCACTTTAATTCACCTAAAATCAAAAATTCGCTCGTCTTCCCTAAATTGAACGTGTACGGAGTTTTCCTATTTGGCTTTAACTGTAATCTGGCTAAAGCCTGATTTACATTCGTCGGAACTTTTTCACAGTTCACTCCAGATATTCAGAAAGGATCGATTGGATCGCACTGGCGTGACTGTTAATTGCCATATCTGCTGCACTTTCGTCCTATTCAATTGAATTTCCCACTCTTCCTGACGTTGAATCTATTGTCATTCGGGCGAAAATTGCCAGTAAACAATTATGTGTAACTTTATCCTCTACTCCCCAAATGTGGACATCTCCATTTATAAGAAACATGCTGCCCTCATTTGTGACGTAGCCGAAATGTCTAAACTTGATGTTGTAGTGATAATTCTGCTTCAAGGTCCACCCTTTAGCATCTGATAGAGCTATTGTGTTTTTCAATGAATTATTTGATCGTAATCTACTTCTATACTAGATCTTTGCTTTGGCAATTGAGACTTCGTATCGTCCAGTAATTTGCATTTTCTTTCATTACAAACATAGTGGTCCGTTGAACCATTCTAATGTATCAAATCCAACTTTCTCAATTATACATTACGATTTTCATTAAATCGATATCTTACTGTTTAAATCTCATCGTTCACACTTTATGCTTCTTATACTATCATCGTTCTATAATGTATTAAAATTAGCAATTTCTACTGTTTATCCTAAATATTTTTTTAAGTTTGTCAATTTAACTCAACTGTTTTACATCCCTCGCATGTTTCTTTCAATGGTTCAGAGGACTCTGATGATATTGAAACCAAAAATCTCTTTGCTGAATATTTCCCACAAAATATTTCAACTGCTGATTCCGATGTTTGGAATTATTGAGAATCATTTTCAGTTGGCGGCAAATTTTTATACGCTTATTCTCAGATGTAGGCAATTTTTATACAAATACTTGAACAATTATTAAAAATTGTAAACAAATGTGGACGCTTATTCTCAGATGTTTGGAATTATTGAGAATCATTTTCAGAAGGAGATTACCCCAGATGGAGCGGCAAATTGTCAGCAGCTAAGAAAAAGGCGAATATAAAAGTTGAAGACGATGAAGGGAGTGGAGTGATGGGAAGATTATGCTAATATTGTATTAAGTCAGTGCGTTCTTCCTCAAAATGATTCAAAGCAATTTTTATGTCAACAGACCGATGATACATTGTTGGCTCTTAATAATGAATCCAAACAAACCGTTTTAAAATCTCAAAATACTTGGCAACATTTAAACACAGGGCTTTCGACTTTAAATGTTCCAATGATGTTTCTTCAGAAGCTCTTGTTCTCATTAAACCCAAAAAAAAATTTTAGGTCACCCAATGAACTCTGTGAGACACCCAATAGAAATTTACTACAAACCGAGACTACAATACCCAAATTGAGCGAGTTTCTTAAAAATGCTGTTGAAACAAGTGCACCATGCTCAAATAGGAAATTACCCCTTCAGGAAATGGAAAAAGATCCCAATACAGTATTAATGGTAAAGAAGTGGCGGCTATCGGGCTTAAGACGTGCTCGTACTAGTTCAAAGAAATAACGATGAAAATAAGAGAATTGATAAAACACGCAATTATATATATATATATATATATATATAAATAAAAAAATAACAAAATTTATTATTTTTATAAACTATACTTAAAATATTCATATAATTATTCTTTTTAATAAATTATATTATTAATAAATAAACTTTATTTTAGACTACCATACGTGCATATATTTTTCTTTGGCGATTACATTTCTGAAGTAAAAATTTGCTAAACATGGATTATCAACGTTGCCGATATCGTCCAAAATGACCCACTTACGGTCGTTTCTTATGTCCAAAGGCGAATTACTATTTAAACCAAGCTGAATGAGCAAAGTTGCGTTGGCTATGATTATGCTGATGATTATATCAAGCACTTGAATTGTAAATAATTTAATAATAAATAATTTATTGGGTTGAAATTATTAATTGGTTAGACCGCACTCTCAGCTGTAAGTTGGTAATGAATGGATATGTACGTTAAAGAATCTTTTTACGCATAAAAATTATAATTAAAATTTTCAATGTTCAATGTTTTCTGGCTAAAAACCATTAATTGGCTTTTTAGGAATAAAGAGAGCGTAGACTTGCTTGTAATAAATAAGAAAAATTAACAATAAATGGCCATGCTTGGTCAAGAGCTCTGTCAAAAAGGCAAAGCAGTAGCGGAAAAAACTGTTAAAAGTCAAAGCAGTAGCGGAATAATCTGTTAAAAAGGCAAAGTAGAAATAAACTGTTAAATTGCAAAGCCGCCGGCATTTATATCTGTTAAATTAAAACAATGTAAAAAGACAAAAAAAATAAATAAAAAGCTCTGTTAACATGACAAATCAATGCAAAAAAAACAACAACAAAACAACGAGTACACCATAAAACCAAAAGCATTCGGCCTTTCCTATTGCTGTGTATTAATTTATATAATTTATATTTAAATACAAATAGCTTTATTTATATAATAGCTTTATTATATATGTGAAATAGCTTTATTAATATATATAAAAATATATGTAAAAGAAATTATTATTCTTTTTAATGTTTTCCTGATTGTTTGCGATTCTTTTTCCTTGGTCGCTTTTGCTCTTCTATCGCAACACCGTATAAACCACTTATTCTCGTTATCGGACTCTTTAAAGTCCATTAAAGCAACATTGTTTAATACGCGCGATTTACCTATGTCGTACTTAAACTAGCTTTTATCCTTAAAAAGTCGTTACGTTTCGAAAGTGAATTATTGTCAATTTATTATCGGTTGCCAGGCTTATGCATGTTTGCGATGGCTTAGGGGTTCATTTGCAATTTGGTCCTGTACCGGTTGTAAGTGTGCTCCTATGCTGATAGTGTACATGCTTTTTTTTCTTTTTCTTTTTTTTTTCTTCTTATTTGTTTTATTATGCTCATACTCAATTTTATTGTTAATTAATATTAGTTTTGCATTAAGAGCCTATTGAACTCGACTGTTATTTGTTTAGTTGAGTTTCTAGTATAAGTGGAATAAAATAAATAAACAAAAACAAAATACATGCCTTAACCGTCTAATTTATTTCGCGAATGCTCTGTCCGCAAAGTAACCAAAATCTCACCCAGGTCTTTAAAGTGAACTGAGTCATTTATATTCGATTGATCCGTGGACGAATCCAACCGTCGTTTCTCCACTGCCATATAAATGGCATAAAGATGAAGGAATCTGGGAACTGGAGAACTAGCATTACGCACTAAATGAGCAGCTCTATCATATTCACGTACATCAAAGTAACTTTTAGCCAGAGAATAATTATCATATTCTTTCGGTACTATGCCTTCCAACATTTTAATACCGAAATTATCTTTTTCATCCTCGCCGTCAATATCCACGTCCGCAAGGCCGTGGCACATTTCAGCTAACCATTTGACGCTGTACACTAAACCACGTTTCTGACATTCCACTATACCCTGTCTTAACTCTCTTTTTGCGTCGAGTACGTTAAAGAAGTCATCCTCCATTATTTAACAAGTTTTAAATCTGTAGGAAAAAGTTGGAAAAAGGAAAATAATTAATACATAATTATAAAGAGTGAGTTATTAAGCACTGTTTACTCGAAAACCGAACTGTCATGTTGATCATCCCATATTAATATTTCCGATATACCTCTTCTCCTTAACGATTCTACCAGCAAACCCCAATTACTCTCGGATACCGTTGTATTTTTTCTAAAATACTATATAAATATTATATAAATACGTTCCAACGATAAACGGTTTTTTGGTTTATTCCAAGCGCCACCGAACCAACTCCGACTACGGGACATTTTTTTCTCAAGTTTTTGAGCAAATTTCACTACTTTTTTTTTGTATTAACATCGTTTCAATTTTTCCGCCTTTCAACCACAAATGCAATTTTATAATTTTAATCCGAAAACGTTCTTCAAATTACGGCTTTTTTACTTGATTTTAATAATTGCGTTTATTCAAAAAAAAAAATTTTTACATCTTTTCCTAAATAATTTAATGTTTTTTCTTGAGAAAGCAGCTGATTATGGTATTGCGCAACCAAATGGTTGTTTATAAATTAAGCGTGAAACGGGACGCAACCAAATGGTTGTTTATAAATTAAGCGTGAAACGAGTCGCAACCAATTATATGTTTATAAATTAAGCGTGAAACGGGGGAAGAAGAGAGAGCGATGTTGAAATATTAAAATTACTTTTAAACAATAAATTAAGGACACGGTCATCGGCATTACCTATATATACATATCTATATCTAACTTTATCTGTAACAGTGGTCCATTCTAAAAAATTTGTTTTAAAATTAAAAGAGGCTTCGCATTTTTGACCGTTATGTGTAATTATTATTGTGTGCTTGCAGCGGGCAAGTATTTCCGTGATTGGTCGATGGTGGGATTTGAATACTTTGTGTTTTTCGATTCGTGATTATCGCCTTCAATCTACAATAGTACTTTTAACGGACTCAGCAGCCAAGCACGTTTTCTATTGTTTACCTAAGTCGTGATATTCGACTGGATTTCCATAACGTAAGTAAGTATGCCGGTGCACGCTATCATCTTAGAGACAATTTCGCGGACAAGATATCACAAGCACTTCTATCAAGCTATACCTCTTTGTGTCTAGGGCCTCCTGCACGCCCGGACTCGGTAAAGATTCCTCGATGGACACTACTAGTTTAGGAAGTCCGTTCAGAAGATGATTTCATTGATAGTTTGTATTTAAGTGCTGGTTTTGTCTGCTGCTGAACAACTAAAAACGAAATGCTGGTTTATTGTTTTTTTATCGTATGTCTCACCACTTGATATTAACTCGGAGAACAACTTTGCAATATGGTAAACACTAAAACTTTAGATGCTTTGAGTACAGTTTAAGAAATAGCATAGCTATATGCTAAGTTTTGTAATTTTTAACGGTTTATGTCTATTATAACTTAGAAAATAACTTAGCTTTACGTATACACTAAAGCTTTTGATTGTAGTAATAACTTTAAACGAAACTGGAAGTCGATGGAAATTTTTGTTTTGTTTAAAGTTCGACTATTTGTGCAGCTACGATATAATGTGATAAAATATTTATATGCGCTATATGAAAACAGAAACCTACAGGTAATTATAAATACATAAAACATTAAAGTCGGTAGTAATGAAACGGATGCTAACGATTATCGCGAGCGTGAATTTTAATGAAACATCTAAATAGTTCGTAAATTATTGAAGCGTGTTCGATTCATTAAATTCTACAATTTATTTAGTATCTAATGTTTCTTTATTCTTTTTATATATATGTATGTTTTCATATGAAATTTCTTAATTTCTTTCATTTTAGAATATTATTTATTAATAAATGTGTGTTTTCATATAAAATTTCTTAATTTCTTTTATTTTACAAGTTAGCTTAGAATTAAACCGTGATAATTTTTAAACAAAGTCCTCGTTAAATTCCCTGTTGAAAGGCAAAACACAGAGTCGCTTTTAAAAAATAAATGCCCAACTTAACAACTTAAATGTTAACGCCAATCAGCCAAACTTAACTGTTAAACAACAGACCAAATGCCCAACTTAATCGACAAAAGAGATTCAATTGTGTTAAATAACAGACCAAATGCCCAACTTAACCGACAAAAGGGATTCAATTCTGTTAAATAACAGACCTAATGCCCAACTTCATCGACAAAAGGGATTCAATTCTGTTAAATAACAGACCAAATACCCAACTTAACCAACAAAAGGGATTCAATTCTGTTAAAATGCAAAGCCGTCGACAAAACAAAGGAAAACTTTGGGATATTTAGCAACTAATGTTTATTTATTTTTTATTAATAAATGTATGCTTTCATATTAAATTTCTTAACTTGTTCAATTTTACAAACTTCATTTGTATCAACAGACAGTTTGTCTTGTCAATGCTTTATTAAAGTTTGGGTTATTGTATGTAAGAAGAATTTATCGTTGATATCTTATTAGGAATTTGTTCAAACCGATTATTGGAATGATTCCTTAAAAAAAAAACCCTTTAAGTTTGTGTAAATAATATAAACAGAATTTGATTTACACTGTGCTTTCTTTACTTCATTACTTTTTCGTTCTTCTGTTTTGTTTTTATTTATTTCTTTACTTTGACAGTTTTGGAGGTTTTTTTAACACATCGGTCGTCTTAACAGAAAATGGCCAATCAACATATGATTTCAGAGAATACTTTTCTTTTTCTTTAGTTATTTTACTTGCATGACAAAACTCAATCAATAACTTGCCATTTTCGTATGTCTCCATCAGATCCGCGAGTTAACATATATCCATATATCCATCGTCACTATAAATTATAGAAATATAGCCACTAGCCTTTGTTTACTTTAGTTTTTATTTTACACTGATGTAAGTAATTAAATGAGCGGGCCTGAAAACATTCGCAGTCATATGAGAGTAATTTAAATGAGCGGGCCTGAAATCCATCTCAATTCACAAGCATCTGAGAGTAATTAAATGAACGGGCCTGAAATCCACCTCAATTCATAAGCATCTGAGAGTAATTAAATCAGCGAGTCTGAAATCCACTTGTTAAAATGTTTTTGCTTTAAAGATCCACTTCAGTGGTCAATTTAATGTTACGCTCTCTGGTTTCATGTAGTATTTCAGCACACTCGATTTGCTTTTCACACTTGTCGTGAATTCAATTCAATTTCATAAGTTTTCATTTCAATTGGCTATTTTGTGTCTACCTTTGTGTCTATCTTTGATTTTTAAACAATTTCATATGTTTGCTTTTCAATTCGCTATTTTGTGTCTACCTTTATGTCTACCTTTGATTTATAAACAATTTCATGTGTTTTCTTTTGAATTCGCTATTTTGTGTCTACTTTGTGTCTACCTTTGATTTATAAACAATTTCATTTGTTTCGTTTTCAATTCGCTATTTTTGGCCGATTTTAAGACTAAATTAAAAGCCCAAATAGTACGCACAAAAATTGGTTTGGACGGTATAATATTAGATATAAAAAATATTAAAGTTTTAGGGCCGTTGGCTGATTTGCCCGCGGATGACTATCGAACTTTGAATTCTGGCAAATTAAAGGATCCATTGGTGAGTTGCAATTGTATGACCAAGGCGAATTCTCGA